CCCTCCCTATATTCCTTTTACATTTTAGTTCACTCTCATTCCTCTTTAGTAAGATGTTTGAATATGATTTCAAATGTTTCTTAGTACTTGAAGTTAAGTGGTTGGCTTTGAAAAAACAAATTAATCTAAAGCCCTAATATTAATCATAATAATTTATTTTCTGAAAAAATCTAGAACAAGAAGATGATCCATGAAATCTTGCTCAAAGTTGTCAAAGAGCAAACAACCTCTGATGGCAGGTGGACAGATGACATCGACCTTAGGGTAGCAGAGATGCAGTCAAAAGAAGGAATGCGCGTCTGTCCAATGTGTGACACTAGTATGCCAAAGACAAAACGGAAGTGTGTAAATAAAGACTGTGGCGTCAATTTGAAAAGTGCAGAAGAACAAGCCAGCGGTACTGATGTCCTTGGGACTGCACTGATTGCCCCTGTCCGCACCTTTCAGCACCGGGTGCATGAGACCTCACTTGGCTTTCAAGTTCAAGAAAACGAGGCATTTGTTTACAAGAAGGAGGAGCTTTGGGAGACATATGATGAGTGGACTGATGTCCCCAGTAGACACCCTCCACATCCAATCAAGGTGGAAACATCTGACCCTGTGTTTGTGAACCCCAATTCCTTTGACTCAGTCAAAGAAGTTCTTCGACGAGTTGGCCATGCAGCTTCTGTAAGTCGATACCATCCAAATGTGCCAAATGCAAGGAAATGGCTCAGTGTAACCATGGATGGCTCTCCCTACTTGGTTAGTAGAACAGTAATCGATGCAGTTTACTTGTGTTGTGATTGTGAAGCGGAAGTTCTGAAATCAAAACAGGATGACCACCGTATTGATGTGCATCAAGGTCATAGGGTTAATTTCATTATGGAGTTTGACTGGGTGTTATTGCGTATTGGTAAGCTCCACCTTGAAATGAACATGGCCAAAACATTCACCAGCCATAACTGGGAGGTATTCATGTGTGAGCTGACTAAAGAGTTGGGGTTCACCTCAGAAGCAGCACAAAAATATGTGAAGAAGTGTTCGGATCATCATAAAACGATGTCCATCCTGAAAGTCGCCCATATTGGTTTCTGGTATGAGTTACTTCTACCTTATGTCCATAATCGCCTTTCTTCTGGATCTCCCATGTCAGTGAATGACTTCCTGTATGACTGGGTCAGACAAGTGGGTTGGAATAATCCTAACTACAAGTACATCTTCAACACAACCTGGACGTATCTGATGGGCATTCAACTGCTTCACATTGGTGTGAGGAGAAACAATGCTGAATACATCAGGGCAGGGCATATGACCTTTGCACCACTGTTTCACAGAAACTGTGCTTCCAAATATGCTTTGATTGATTTGCATGACAGGTAAGCATACAGTTTCTTGCATTGTTTGGTCTATATGTTACTATTTAATTTTATATTTGGTTTGAAGTTTTTCAAACCTGTCTGATTTTGTCTTGTACTCATTATCATCATCTGAAACA